ATGGACCAAGGAAAACTGTCTTCGGTGTTTTATACTACTCTTGTTCCTATGATGAATCCCCTGATCTACAGCCTGAGGAATAAGGTTGTGAAGTTTGCCCTAAATAATACCTTCAAAGAAAGAAAATTCTTATGAAACAGAATTTTATGTTTAGCAAAAATGCAGTATTTCTGTAGATTTGGTAAGAAAACAGTGATACAGCCCTGTATGTACCCAAGTCATAGATTTGATGCTGGTTCTTATTTAGACAAAAGGTACAATATTGCAAAGGTAGGATAGGTTTTAGAAGCACATATAAAAGACACTTGTGAGATGGCCCACAGTTTCCTGCCCGAAGTTATTTCTATTACTACTAGTTATTTCTATTACCACTGTTTTTTTTTATTTCTTTCTTTTCTGTCTTTCATGTTTTTAGAAACAGGGTCTCACTGTATTTTTCACACTCTCTTGGACTAACCATGTACTGAAGCTGGCCTTGAACTTGCAATAGTTCTCCTACCATATCCTCCTCTATACTAGGATTATAGGCATGTGGTATCACACCTGGTACCCATCATGCTTTAGAAATAATCATAGTGTATGATTGTCTTACAATCATCCCAAATTTTCAACATATATTTAAAATCAGGTCATAATCCTTTCTTTAATTATATATATCACTTCGGTTTTAGTTTTTTAATAATTAATACTTATCTACTCAATCATAAGCCCCTTAAATGTCTCCATATGACTGATTATGCTTTATTTTTATTGAACATTCTTGTTTTAATGCAAAACTTTTCTATCTTTATTCATTAAATAAATTTATTTGAGCAGCATCATGTTTTCTCAATTTTATATACCTAAGTCTTATACTAAGTGTATTTCCAAGCATTTATGAATTTGTGATTCAAAAAACAAATAATTTTTCCTTTTGAATATGTGAAATATATTGCCAACATTACTAAATGTATAAAGGTGCATTAGGTAATACATGATTCTGTGGTACATGATAAGACACTTCCTAATTACAAGGCAATAGTAGTGCAATGGAGGATATAAGTATGATAAAGACATATGGATATGTTTGATAGAGTTATAATTGCACGTAGGCAGTCTTCTTTGCTCTGCAGCTTTCTTCTCAGTGTTCCAAAAAGAATAATACTAGAAACATCACAACATCTGATATCTATTCATACTGTCAAGCAATAGTAGCAAAAATCCCAGATATTAACATAAAACTTGTCCTGTAGATCACTGGAACTGAATACAAGACCTAGAAATGGATTCTCACATATTCAGTTGGTGGAAGATCGTGCTGTTGATGAAACAGTGCTGGGAAAACTAGATATTCACATGCAGAAAATACAAACTGGTTCTCACCTGATGGAAGGAAGACAAATGTTACATATTTTCTACGATGTATGGAAAAAATAGTACCTGAATACAGAAGAGGGACTACTATTGTGTAAAAGCTAGTAAGGTGGGTGGAGGGGATTGATTGAGAAGGGAAACCTGAAAAATGTACAAAAATATTTGAGAAAAGAAACCAAAGCTACCCAATTGCTAATATAAAATGTCACAGTGAAACTCATTAAACTGTACAGTTAACGTATTGGTCTTTATGATCTTAGCAAACCTTAAAAGGATGTCTTTAGCTAATTGCTAAACTGAATTTATGAGCTGGGAATTTATCTCAGCAGTGTAAGTGCCTGCATGACTAGTGTGAGATCCTGAGTTCAATCCCCAGTACCAAAAAAAAAAAAAAAAAAAAAAAAAAAGGAAAGAAAGAAAATGTATATATCAGATTAAATGTTCACATGCAACAAAAATTTAAAATATTTCAGAGAAAATTTAGCTAAGAAACTTCATTGCAATATCTTAAGATTATGTAACATTTAATTATTTTGAATATAAAAAATTAAAAACTGCAAACATTTTGGCGTGAAAATAATTTCTATTATATGTTTTCACTGTTATTTAAAGTTTCTCTTCACTTTTAGAAGGGAGACACTCCTCCTCTCTCTGTAGCATTCTTCTGCAGACCCATGGGTCTCTAGTAATATCCACGAGTTTCATTTGGGTGCTCAATTAAAGCTGCTTTTCTACAGCATGCAAATTAAAATGTTCAGAGAGTATCACTTTAAGAAAATATATTAATTTAAGAAAAATTAATAGAAACAATGCAACTATAAACTTCAATGACCTTGGTTCATTCTCCTCAGTAGTTTTCTCTTTGAGACAGTATCATAGAAAATTCCTTTCAATTCTTAAAATCTTTCTGAAATTTTGAATTTTTAAAGTCTGGGTAAGAAATTCACTGGTGTTCTGATAATGCTTCCATCCATTTCTTAACCATATTTTAAAAAGAACTGAATTACACATATGTGACAGTGTTAAACACTTGAGAACCAAATGAGGATAATAAGAAAGTCTTTATTGTGTCTTTCCCCAGAGTTGATACTCGTGGGAGAACATTCTGGTGGGAGATCATTATCATCATTTGCTCCTAAATTAACTCTTGTACCCAGGAGATGAAACTGTTACACCAAGCCACCTCTGCATAAAACCAAATGGCCTTGGACTGCACTTTCAGTAGATGTCAGGATTTGTGACTCAAAATATAGATTTGGGCTATCACTGCCCCACATTATCAAAATTATTTTTCCTTTCAGAGCAATGAAGAAAAGCCTAAAATGCTGAATTCTGGGAAGCAGAAGGAGTTTGTCTTGATCCCTGTCCTTGACTTTTAAAATTCCAGATTCTTTTCCTGCATTTCTTTCACAGTGTTAGCAGAGATGCAGATGGGATGGATCTGTCCCTCCAGGTCCTCATTCTGAGAGCCACACTTCCTGATGAGAACAGATTCCACTATCATTTTCTGTCTTCTACAGCAAGGAATTATAGCAAACACTTCTTTTAGTTAACTTCACCCAAGGAGGTAAGAGCTTTACTCAGTCACTCTCAATTTGTTTTAACTTATCTCTAAGCTTTTTCCAACAATTTTATCAAATGCATTGTTGAGGCTTGCACTGCCCAGAACCCTGTGCCAGCAGTGCATTGAGTTTACAAATCAGAGTGGGAGAAAAGTCAGTAATGACGCATTGCTCACCAAGCTAGGTATGTGCCACATGTGACCATAAGGAACATATCTGTGTGCAGAGAGGAAATGGTCCTGATAACCTGAATTTCAGTATCAGAGATTCCAATAAAAAGATGTGTAACTGTGTGTTCATATACACTTCAATATATTATGTGTTTAGTTAGTATTTGGTGTCCTGACACAGGCTGAAAGTTTGTCCTTGGTGAAAATATTTTCATTTATTATTGATAACTCATGTATCTCAAACATGACAATGTTTATTGAGATCCTGAGTCACCGTTAAACTCAGTTGTTGATGCTTTAAACAGTTATGTGTAAGAATCTTTAGAATACTTTCATAGTACAGTTATATTATCAGATTTTTTTTCTTCAGGTGTTGTTTTCATCTTGCTGGGTAGAGATTTTTTAATGCACAATTTAAAATTTTTTTTAAAATGCACAGTTTACTCTTTCTTCAAATGCTAAGTTATGCTTTGAGTGTCTCACCAATGAAACAGTCATGAAATTCAAAGCTACGAATACTTAGTTTTATAGTTTTTGCAAGTGTTAGTTTTTAAAAATCTATTTTACAAGTGTTAGTTTTCACAAGTGTTAGTGTTTAAAAATCTATTTTATGTAACCCACATTTAATGAATTAAGGGGAAAATTTGATAAAGATTTCTAAGTTAATTCTCATAACTGTACTTACTGAGTTTTCCATTTCAGCACACATTGTTGAGAAGATTATCATTTTTCCACTGAATTATCATAAAATGCTTATAACAATTGAGTTCATCATGGCTATAAGTTAATTTCTGGACTATCACCTCTGTTCCATTGGTCTGTATGTTTATACTAGTAACAGTCCTATGCCGCCTTGTTCACTGTAAAACAGTAAGTTTATAAATAAGAAGATGTGACACATCAAAAGACACTTATCTTACAATTTGCTTTGATTATTCTAGGATCTTTGTCTTTTAACAGAGATTTGTATGATCATCGTGTCATACTGGAGTGGATATTTTGATAGATGTTACACTGAATTTTTACATCGGTTTGGAAAGTATGTCTTTTTCACAATGTTGATTTTTTGATTTGTGAAGATCTGTCTTTCCAAGTTTGAAAGACTTTAGTACTATTCAAAAACGTTTTGTAATTTTATGTGTGACAGTTTTCATTTTGTTTTAAAGTTTGTTCCTATTTCATCCTTTCATGTTACTTACTTTATTATATATCGAAAAATATAAAATACTATAACTTACATCTCCAGTCTACACTTCCACATGATGTTTAATTGTAGTTCTACAATTTTGGTATCAATTCTCTTGGGCTTTTTCTGCCTAAGATCCTCATTTAACTAGAGTGAAATGATAAGGAATCCTGGCTTTCCAATATGGATGCCATTCGTTAAGTTTTTAGCCTGACTTTTCTAGTTAGATCTTTTGGTGCACTATGAAATGAAAATAGGTTGTGGACAACTTGCATTATTCAGTATTTCAGGGGAAAATCATTTGCCCTTCAGCATTCTAGTTAACAATGAATGTGTGTCTTTCCCTATCTCTGTGCGTATGTGTCTGTGCATGTTTTATGGATGCTGCTATTCTAACTCAAAGTGATTATTTTTCACCAGAATCATTCTGAAAATTATAATTAATCAGACACATTAAAAATTAGTAGAAATTGTTTTTGTGAGTGTTCCTGAAGTTGATATTAATAAGACTCTTACAGAGTGAAATAAGAAAACCAGAGTTTTGTGTGCTATATATTTACATGTCTCTTAGAGATCTTAAGATTGTTGATATATTTATATGAAAAGTTGGCCAAGAACTGGGCATATTTGGATGAATAGAATAAAGTTCTACTTCACATATAATTGTTCAGACAATAAATATCTATTGGAAAACTTTTCTTCCCTTGTTACATAGATTTTCATAAAGAAATGACAGAAGGAAATCATTCTATGGTGACTGAGTTTATTCTTTCTGGGTTAACAGAGAAACCAGAGCTCCAACTGCCCCTCTTCCTCCTGTTCCTGGGAATCTATGTGTTCACAGTGGTGGGGAACCTGGGCATGATAACCCTAATCAGGCTCAGTGATCCTCTGCACACCCCCATGTACTATCTCCTCAGCAGTCTCTCCTTCATTGACCTGTCCTATTCCACTGTTATTACCCCCAAAATGTTGACAAACTTCATGACAGAGAAGAATGTCATCTCCTACGCTGAGTGCATGACTCAACTATATTTCTTCTCAGTTTTTGTTATCTCAGAGTGTCACATGTTGGCTGCAATGGCATATGATCGCTACGTTGCCATCTGTAACCCCTTGCTTTACAGTGTCACCATGTCTCCTCAAGTCTGCTTCTGGATGATCACTGGGGTATACAGCTTGGGCTTGATTGGGGCCACAACTCACCTTATCTGCATTCTGAGGGTGCTTTTCTGTAAGGCCAGCATCATAAATGATTTCTTCTGTGACCTTTTCCCACTTCTGAAGCTCTCCTGCTCCAGCACTTTTATTAATGAGGTAGTGCTTCTGTGCTTCAGTGCATTTAATATTCTTCTTCCAACTCTCACTATCGTTCCTTCCTACATCTTCATCATAGCCAGCATCCTCCGCATTCGCTCCACCGCGGGCAGGTCCAAAGCCTTTAGCACCTGCAGCTCCCACCTCTCAGCAGTTGCTGTGTTCTTTGGTTCTGGCACATTCGTGTATCTACAGCCCTCATCAAGCAACTCCACGGACCAAGGGAAAGTGTCCTCTGTGTTTTACACCATTGTTGTCCCCATGCTGAATCCCTTGATCTACAGCCTGAGGAATAAGGATGTGAAAGTTGCCCTATGTAAGATCTTTCAAAAATATCAATGTTCTTTGAAATAGAGTATTTTACTTTTATAATGAAGTATTTCTGTATTTTAGAGAAGGAAGTAATCCAAGGACTAATACATAACCTCATTTCTGGTGATTTCTGCTAATGCTTAAATATTTGGACAAAAAGTACCACAGATAAGGCTAGGTTGATTGCATCAAAGCCTCATAGGATGGTGATTCTCTAGGGTGCCCCAGAATCCAACTACTTAGAGTAAGCTGTATCTCAATTTTATAAATTACAAATTCCTCGTATAATTCATTATGTTTTGTGTGTGTGCAGTGTGTCTCTTCTAATTATGATATTTATATTAGTTCAGAAAATAAATATATTTGCTTCACATTTTCTTTTTTCAATAGTTTATGTACCCAGCCTTCTAAATCAAGTTAATTAGCAGGCATTTTTTTGAAGATTTAACCTCCAAAATAAATAAATTTAACACTTGAATTATACAAAAAGTATAATCCCCAATAATTAGCAATTGTGTACAACTGGGTTAGTGTAATATCATGGCATCAGATGGAAAATAAAACATCGCATACCCTCATGGAGATACTCCTCATGGAGCACGTTGGAAGACACTGACAGTAATAAACAGACCCATGAATGTTAGGCACTTTATTTTACATGTATCTATGTACCAGTCTTGAGATAATGCTGTCATTCTCATTTCCTGAGAATTCTATATTCCTTTTCCCATGTTCCAAGGAGGTTTGACTCTTTAAAAAATTTGCACCCATAGAGAGTGTCTGTTACTTTTATGTGCTATTCATTTACTATTTACTTCATACGGGTTCCTCATTTACGTGTAAAACTTAGCGTTGACAAATATTTTCCTGACTATTGACAAATTCTTCTACTACATGAAACTCAAATTCTACTTGAAAAACAAATGTTTTTTCATTGGGCTGAGGTGCAGACTTTTGACAAGTAAATTTAACTTTTTTTTTCAATTGAGATCTTATACAGTCTCTTGGAAACCCTTACTAGAAAGCTCCAGGCTGTGCTCCGGGAGACAACTGTCCTCAAGAGCAAATCTCAGCATTTCTCACACCTTAGTTTTGCAAAAACTTTTCTTATGTCTCCTGAGCAATAGCCTGTTGGCTACCAGATACATCCATTCAGTGTCAGGGCCACATTTTAAATGGCAGGTCCTGGCTGTATTCATTCCGTGCCTCTGATTTTTTAGCCTTAACAAAGGGTTGCACTGAGACAGCATAGACACCTGCAAGTAGCTTCTTGTTATTCCCTGCCCCTGTCTGTCACGGTGAGTCTGTGAGTGCAGCACAGAGGTGTTTATTGTTCTTTAACACAGTGTAAGCATTTGACTTGGTTCACATGCATTTATAAAATCCTTTGTCTCATCAAAAAGGTATATAATAAGATATAATGCACGCTTGGTTTGTCCTCAGCTTGCCTTCAAATACGTCACATGAACAGCTAAAAGTAAGGTTGCCTTTAACTTACCTTCTAGAATAAGAACTATTAGTGAGATATCAGATTCATTGCATCTTCGAAAACAAGCAGAAATCTTTGTTAGTTGTGTTGTAATTTCATATCTTCACATTTCATTTTTTTATCCCACAATAATTTCATGTTTGTATCTATCTCATTATTGACATATATTATGTGATTCATAAATGGATGCGTGCAAATTTGTAATATATATGTGTGAGTAATAAAATTGTGCTGTTTGTCCATTTTTTCAAAGTGTTTGTATATATTCTTATGGTTACTACTCTAAATACTGAATAACATTTACAAAATTTTTCATGTTACTGGGAATACATGTTAATTATTATTTATGAAAATTTATACTATTTCAAAAAATTGGAGCACTAAAATTATAAAATTGGAGCATTAAAAATATAAAATATAAATGTCTGAACTAATTGTAGTCATTCTCTGAACTGTGGGGAGATAAACAGAATATATATATATTAATTTTATTATTTCATGGGAAAGACGTTAAAATTCATAACAAAATAGTGAGAAAATAACAACAGTTATTACAATGCATGTTGTTATCTCTAAAATAGTTGCTCAGGGTAAGAGATATGGGCATAAAAATTTTCCACTTGATATTAGCACAAACCTTTTAAATTATCTAAGAGGCATGAATGGTATAACTTCTTTGCCATTTTTCCTTTTTTGCTACTGTTTTTTGCCCTTTTACACATCCCACCCACTTTTTCCTTCTGAACAATTGCTTTCCATTTCACAACTTCTATTGTACACTTTAGACCTATTAACTGTTTTGATTACTTATACAAGGCATACAATATGATATTGAAACATGTGAATCTGAATCTTACTTCACTTATACGTATGATCTAAAAGCGCATCCACTTACCTGTAAAAGTCTCAAGTTTACCCTTCTTTAAGGCTTACTAATACTCTGTTGTATAATTTTTTAATCCATTCTTCAGATGATGGCCATTTGAGTTGTCCCCATGATTTAGCTATAAAAATTGCTTTGATATAAAACTGGGTGAACATATATTGCTGTGCTATGATGTTTCAATTGTTCTGGGAAAATACAAAGAAGGGAAGTAGCTGGATTGAATAGATTTTGCAATCTAGGTTTTTAGAGCAACTTGCACACTGATTTTACACAGCAGTTGTACCATGTTACATGCTCCTCAGCAGTGGAGAAATTTCTTTTGTCCCCAAAGTCTGTGGAGCACTTCTTATTTGGTTGACTTCTTTATGGTAGTCATTCTTTCTGATGTTGATGCAATCTCAGTGTTGTTTTAATTTGAATTTCTCCAATTGGCAGTGATGGTGAACAGTTTTCAAATATTTATTTGTCATCTGTATTCCTTCATCTGAAAAGTTTGTTTTTGTCCCAAACGCTCATTTTTGGATTGGATTTTTGAATTTGTTCTTGATAGAAGTCTTTGAGGGATGAGTATTTAAAGCTATTTACCATTCTGTGTGTTTTGTTTTCTCTGTATTAGTGACTTCTGTTGATTTTCAAAAGATTTTTAATAATATGAAATTCTTGTTATTGATTCTTGAAGTGTTTTCTGTGCATTCTGGGTTTTGTTCATGAATTTCTGCCAAAATCTACATCTTCAAGATTTCTATCTAATTTCTTTTCTCGTAGATTTAGGGTTTCTCTTTTAATATTTAGATTTTTGATCCACTTTGACTTTAGTTTAGTGCATGATGATAGAAATCAATCTAGTTTTAGTTTTTGGCATGTGGAAAATCAGTTTTACCACACTATTTATTAAATAGGCTATGTTTTTTGCTGTGGAGAAGTTTGCCCTCTTTGTCAAAGTTAAGGTCTTGAGTATATTTTCAGGTGCGTCTGCATCTTCTAATCTGCTCCACAGATCCTGAGGTATGTTTTTTTCACCAGTACAATGCTGATTTTTATCACGGAAATTTTCTAGTATAGTTTCAATTCAGAAATCGCAATGCTTCCTGCCTTGCATTTCTTGCCCAGGATTGCCTTTGCTATTCTAGGTCTCTTCTAGTTCCAGATCAATTTTAAGAATGTTTTCTTTAGTTCTATGAAGTATGGTAATGGTACTTTAATTGGAATTGCATTAAATCTGTATAACAATTTTGAAAGCATGGACATTTTGCAGTGTTGGTTCTTCCTATTCAAGAGCAATGGATTTCTTTCCATTTTCTGATATCCAGCTCAATCTTATTTTTCAGAGATAATATATTCTAATTTTCAAGGCATAAATCCTTTACTTTGTTAGGTTGATTGTTAAGTATTTCATTTCTTTGATGCTATTTGGAAGGGTGTGGCTTTTCTAATTTTTTGGACAATGAGTATGTTGTTTGTATACAGGAATCCTATGGATGTTTTAATATAGACTTTGTATCCAGATATGTTACTGAAGTTGTTTATTACATCTTATATCAAGAAATCTTTGCATGCTGTTTTTGAGGTCTTCTCTGTAGAGTATCATGTCATTTGGATATAGTTATAATTTAACTTATTCCTTTTCTACTCTTATTCTTTTCATTTTTCTTTTTCCTCTAATGGCCCCGGCTAAAATTCCCAGAATTACATCAAGTAGGAGTGGTGGTAGTACACATCTTCTTCTTGCTCATAATTTTAGATTTAAAGCTTTCGGTTTTGTCCACTTAGTATGATGTTGGTTGTTGGTTTGTCATAGATGACTTTTATCAGATTTAGATAAAGACCATGTATTCTTTTCCCATCAGGTTTTTTTTTAAATCATGAATTAATATTTGACTTTATAAGATTTTTCTGCATCCAATGAGATGATCATGTAATTTTTGTCTTTGGCTATGTTTCAATGTAATATTACATTTTTGATTTGCATATTGTGGACTATCACTGTATTCCTAGGATGAATATCACTTGTTCATGATGTATAATCTTTTTGATGATTTACCAGTATCTTATTAGGGATTTCTGTATCTATGTTCAGGGAGATTGACCTATAGCTCTCCTTTTTGGTTGGATCTTTCTCTGGCTTTTGTATAAGTAAAATACTTGACTCCAGTAATGAGTTAGGGAGTATAATTTCCCTTTCAATTTCATTAAAGAGTTTGAGCAGTATCAAATCTTCTCCAAATTTGTTGTAGAATTCATCAGTGACTCTCTCAGGACCTGGGCTTTTCTTTGTTGCTTAGTTTTTAATTACATTATCAATTTCATTGACTAACATTGAATATTCAAAATTTTTATATCTCCTGATTCAGCTTTAGTAATTTGTACTTATCTAGGAATCTGTGCATTTGTTCTCTATTTTCTGTCCTTGCAGAGCAAAGATATTCAAAATAAGTATTGACATTTCACCCATTTAATTCCTCATTCCATGAATTTGAGTCTCTTCTATTTTAATATGGTCAGTAAGGGTTTGCTATTTTTATTTATTGTTTCCAATAACCAACTCTTTGATTTGCTAATTATTTGTATCATTTTATTATAGCAATAGCAGTAATTATTTCTCTGATCTTTATAATTTCCTCCTTGTATGGGCTTCGGGCTTGAATTCCTCCGCTTTTCCTAGTAGCTTGTAGTACAGGATTAAGTTATTTGTGCTTTTGCTACTTTCCTGATGTGAGAATTCATACAAGTATCCTCCTTAGGACTGCTTTCAATCTGTCCCACTGGTTCTGCCAAGTGGTATTTGCATTTGCATTTGATTTTAGATGTCCTCTAAATTCTTCTTAAATTTCACCATTGGCCCATGTGTTATTTAGGAGTGTGTTACATAACATCCATATTTTCATGGAGATTTTGTGGGATTTTTTTTTGTCATTAATCTCCAATTTTATTATACAATGATAAAATAATATATATGGAATAATTTGAATTCCTTTGCATTTACTTAAGCATGTTCTATGGGCTAGTATATGGTGTGTTTTAGAGAACACTCCATGTACACCTGAGAAGAATGTGTATTCTGATACTGTAGGTGGAACACTTTGTAAATGCTTACTAATTATATTTGTTCACAGGTTTTGTTCAGTTCTGATATATATATATATATATATATGACTGATATATATATATGACTGATATATATATATTTATATATATATATATATATATATGACTTTTCATCTGGTTGATCTCTTTTTTTAATGGAGTACTAAGTTCTATATTACAATTATGCTCTTGCTTATATGATTTTTCATGTCTATAATTATGTGCCATATAAATTAGGTGTTTCTATATTTGTTGCATATATATTTATGATTTTTATCTCATCCTTTTCAATTTTTCCCTGAAGAAACAAGCATTGACCATTTTAAAAATCTCTTTTGCTCAATCTTTGTTTAAAATTCACATTGTCTACAAACAAAATAGCTACTTCTTTTTTTCTGGCTTCCTATTGTATAGAGTACTGTTTTACATTCTTTGACTATTAGTCTATGAGTTTCATTTTGAATTAACTGTTTTTATTGTACGCAGGTTATCATTGGATCCT